AAGTACGAGCTCTATAGGAGTCTGTTCGTGATGTCACAGCATGCACGCATGAGGAGAGAGCACAGCTCTGGGCTCAGCCCACCGACCTCTTTTACACATGTGACTTCAATCACTTTACCTTGTTTAAGCTGCCATCACCACTCATGTGTCATGCATGTCAAAGCACAAACCAAGCATGAAGACAAAGGAACTGTCTGTAGACCTGCTGCTCCGAAAGTTATAATGAGCACAGTGGCCTTCATCATCCATAAGTGGAAGATGTTTGGAACCACCTAGAGCTGGCCGGCCATCTAAGCTGAGTGATCGGGGGAGAAGGGCCTTAGTCGGGTAGGGGAACAATAACTCGACGGTCACTCTGTCTGAGCTCCACCGTTTTTCTGTGGAGAGAGGAAAACCTTATGGAAGGACTATTAACTGTGCAGCAATCCTCCAATCAGGCCTGTATGGTAGAGTGGCCAGACTGAAGCCTTTCCCAGCCTGGAATTTGCCAACAGGCATCTGATGGACTCTCAGACCATAAGAAACAAAATTCTCTGGTCTGATGAAACTAAAATTGAACTCTTTGAAGTGCATGCCAGGTATTATGTTTGGAGAAAACCAGGCACAGCTCATCACCAGGCTAATACCATCCCTACAGTGAAGCATGGTGGTGGCAGCATCGTGCTGTGGGGATGTTTTTTAGCAGCAGGAACTGGAAGACTAGTCAGGATAGAGGGAAAGATGAATGCAGCAATGTACAAAGACATTCCTTCATTAATTTTCTTTTCGGCTTAGTGCCTTTATTAATCCTGGATCGCCACAGTGGATATGAACTGCCAACTTCCCTTTCAGCCATGACCCATCTCTGGGAAATGTACAAAGACATCCTAAATGAAAACCAGCTTCAGAGTGCTCAGACTAGGGGGATGGTTCATCTTCCAGCAAGACAATGACCCAAAGCACACTGCCAAAATGTCAGTGGAATGGCTTCACAACAACTCGGTGATTGTCCTTGAGTGGCCCAGCCAGAGCCAGGACCTAAATCCTTTTAAACATCTCTGGAGAGGTCTGAAAATAGCTGTACACAGTCGTTTCCCATCCAACCTCATTGAGCTTGAGTCCCTTGAGAGGTACTGCAAAGAGAAATGGGAAAAAAATCCCAAAGACAGGTGTGCCAAGCTTGTGGCCTCATATTCAAAAACACTTGAGGCTGTAATTGCTGCCCAAGTTGCATCAACCAAGTATTGAGCAAAGGCTGTGAACATTGATGTTCATGTGATTTTTCGGGTTTTTTTATTTTTAATAAATTTGCAACAATTTCAAATAAATCTTTTTCACATAGTCATTATGGGTTTTTGTATGTAGAATGTAGAGGAAATAAATAAATTTAATCCATTTTGGAATAAGGCTGTAACATAATTTTTTTTTGGAAAAAGTCTATGAGTACTTTCCGGATGCACTGTGTATATTGATATTATGACTGAAAAAAATGATGAAACAAACAATATTACTGAATTACTAAAATAAAAACATAAAATATAAAAACAAAAGCTAAATTAAAATGTTAGTTAAAACGGTAGTATGCAAAAACTACTGTGACAAACAACATGATAAAGTGCATGTTTAAATAGAACTGTGCCAAAGCAAAATGCTGAATAAGGCCAAACCCAGATATAATGTAATATAATGTAATATAATATAATATAATATAATATAATATAATATAATATAATATAATATAATATAATATAATATAGGCCTAATATAATATAATATAATATAGTATAATATAATTAATATAATATAATATAATGTAATATAATATAATATAATATAATATAATATAATATAATGTAATATAATGTAATATAATATAATATATAAAATATAAAATAGTATAATATAATATAATATAATTAATATAATATAATATAATATATAAAATATAATATAAAATAATATGATATAATATAATACAAAATAATATTATATTATATTATATTATATTTTATTATATTATATTATATTATATTATATTATATTAATTATATTATATTATATTATACTATTTTATATTCTGTCTTTGTAGAATTATGCAGTGGTGCAGTAAGTAGTGCAGTCGCCTCACAGCAAGAAGGTCGCTGGTTCGATCCTCGGCTCAGTTGGCGTTTCTGCTCTGGTTTCCCCCACAGTCCAAATACATGCTCAAGTCCAAAGACAAAGTTGTGGCTGGAAGGGCATCTACTGCGTAAAAATCTAATGGATAAGTTGGCAGTTCATTCCGCTGTGGCGAACTCGGATTAATAAAGGGACTAAGCCGACAAGAAAATGAATGAATGAATATAATATAATATAATATAATATAATATAATATAATATAATATAATATAATATAATATAATATAATATAATATAATATAATATAATATAATATATAAATAACTTACATTCTCTAGAAACAAAGTAAGACCTCAACATTTTAAAACACAATAAATATTTAATGATTCAAACCCAAACGCCTTTTATAAATATTTATAAATGTGCTGCTCCGTCAACATCTCTGATCTGACTGTATGTTGTGCTGAGATATTTCTGAACTCAAATCAGCTTCTAACCGGTTGCTCATGTCAATTGAATTCTTCCTGTATGGAGCTATATTTTTTTAGTTGCCATGGAAAAGCGTCTTTTCTGGTCGCTATGGTGATATGTCTGCAGTTAATTGGTTGCTGCTGAGTGGAACAGTTTGTGCCCTGAAAGAGACTTCATTCAGTGAAATGCACAGAGTCACGTAGTACAAGCACTTCAAGACCTAAATTACTATCATTATCATCTACTCCGGGGAGTCGGATTGGTCAGAGGAGCTCGTCTTGCAATTATGAAATCTGTCAGAGGGTCAATAAAATTTCATTTGGTAAATGTTAAGGGAGGGGCGGTGGCTCAGTGGTTAGCGCTGTCGACTCACAGCAAGAAGATCAATGATTCGAGCCTCAGCTGGGTCAGTTGGCATTTCTGTGAGGAGTTTGCATGTTCTCCCTGCGTTCGCGTGGATTTCCTCTGGGTTCTCCGGTTTCCCCCACAGTCCAAAGACATGCTGCAGGTGAATTGGGTAGGCTAAATTGTCTGTAGTGTATGAGAGTGTGAGTGTATGAGGGTGACAGGCCCAGATGACAGGCCGGCCGGAATGTGTAAAAAAGTCGTTATAATATGGACAAGTCAAAAATGGCTTGTTTTAAAGAACCGACCCCGCAACCATAAGGGACTAAGGCCAAAGGAGAAGACTGCAGTTTTCAAATGGCTGTGCAAATAGTATATAATGCTGTCTTGAGCATTTTCAGGAAGTGTCACCAAAATCTGACTTTTTTGCATTGGAAAAATGTATTGAGTAAACTGTCGTAATGAAAACATGACAAAGCCATTTGACTATCTTGTTCATAAACAATGGTGTCAGGACTTTTCATCTTGATGACACTGACTCTTTCATTGACATGAATACTTGCTTTTGAGGAATGATCTATCCAGTTTGAGCAAGTGACACACTTTTTTGCAGGTTATCAGCTAGGTTTTGCTGTTTGTACTAATTGTTTTTGAGAAATGCATTAACTGTTGTGCAAATGTAAATAGTGTTTTGAGAAATGCACCAAAGCCACTGAAAAAAAATGAAAAACTTTATTGTTTTAAAAGGATAATTGTGTATATAGTGATAATTTGCCCTTAAAAATGCTAATTTTGTCATTGTTTACTCACCCTTTACTTGTTTATGAGTATTGTATTTTTCTATAAAACACAAAAGAAAATATTATAAAAATAACCATTGAATTGTAGAGTATTTGTTTTCCTACTATGAAAGTCAATGGTCACAGGTTTTCAGCTTTCTTCAAAATGTCTTCATGTTTAGCAGAAGGAAGAATCAATCTTATAACGGTTTGTAACCACTCGAGTGGCAGTCATTTATTAAACAATCTTGAAAAATGTTTCAGGGTTTGCAAAAACATATTAAGCATATATTTTTTTTTAATTATGAGTATTTTTTGTATTGTTGTTATTTATAAATTAAAAAGTTTTTCTTGTTTGCTTTGACCTGGTTAAAGAAACTAGGTTCCACTTCATTTTCATTATCACTATCCCAGCAGAGTAGAAGACAGGTCTTGCAAATGTGTAAACCCTTTGTCATTGTGTAGAAGGTCTATGTTGTTCTGTGCCAGCATGGATGGAGGAGGTCAATACTGGCTATGTCCTATACTCCCAATAGATTTGACTGTATATTGGTTTACATGTTTTCTCTTAAATTTACAGTATTTTATTACTTTTGTCTTTTTTTTATTTATTTTTTTTTTACAGTATTTCAGTTTTTAGCCACAGTTTGAAAAACATCATGAATTCAATGTAAATTTAATCAATTAGTTTCTTATTCTGGATCCAATTCTTTGCAAAAAAGGCAAATTTGACAGCCCAAATAAAAACAACAAATGGTATTGACAATAGGCTATAATGACAAGCAATGGTGCACTGATTCAAATTAAGTTCTGTATTTTGTATTTTGTTGTCTATTGTGTAATGATTAATTGAAAGAGCTCATATATTTGTTTGCAAGTTGTGTAGTTTGAAGGTAAAACTAGCTTTTGTTGCATATTTTAAATGTTTTGACACGGTATGTGCATTTTGACCATGAGTGCCGCTGTTTAGGCCTGTGTGTAAACTGTTTTAAAAATGTGGAGTTTCAGTTGACGGCTGCATCAAAGCAATCAAGAAAAACTGCACGTCAAAAATAACACGTCATCTTAACTAAGCCCAAGCAAGAATACTTGTTCAGCTTTGATTTTATTAGTTGGTGTTTTGTTGTTGTCTTATTGCAATAAAATGTACAGTATTTGCCTCAGTTAAGCACATGCATTTGTCTTTGTACATTTTAAGATTTTGTGCACATCTTGCTATTTCCATCCTAATGTCTGTAATTTTGTTTTAAAGTGTTACTCACTTTCAAACACAATCATATGAAATAATTCTGTTCATTATTTCTATAGAAGCCGAGAGAAAGAGTGTACAGAGTTTTCAAGACCCTCTCACATCCAGGAGACGTGTAGGGTCTGAGCCGAGAGACCCTTTATCCCAGAGTCCCCTTCCTGAGGGCCGGACCCCCACAGACCCGCTGTCTCTGATGGCGGAGCAGATCTCCGTGGGCTCCCAGGACACAGGGGACGGTCTGGAGGCTCTACCCAGAGATGACGGCAGTCGCCTGGGCAGCGTAGGACGGCAAACCCCACAGAGGAGTCTGGCAATGGACAACCAGGGTTATGACAACAGTGACGTCACAGAAAGCTTCCCTACATGGAGTCCTGAGGTGGGTGTGCTTGTGTGCATCCGAGGGGAAGATTTATTGCTTTAAATCTATTTTTAAATTAATCCTTTTATTTGCCAATGACTCTCCCAGAGATGGGTTGCGGCTGGAAGGGCATCCATTGTGTAAAAACTTGCTGGATAGGTTGGCGGTTCATTCCGCTGTGGCGACCCCAAATTAATAAAGGGACTAAGCCGACAAGAAAATAAATGAATTAATTTGCCAAGGACATTTTAATTTGACTAATAGTGGCATTTATAATAATAATAATAATTCCTTACATTTTTATATCGCTTTTCTGGTTGGACAGAAGGTCGGTCAGTCGGTCTTTACTGTAGCTGGCAACTAGCTCTCTGCAACTCTCACATGGTCGCCTACTGAAGCTAAACAGGGCTGCGCCTGGTCAGTACCTGGATGGAAAACCACATGTGAAAGCTATGTTGCTAGCGGCAGTGGTGTTAGTAAGGCCAGCAGGGGACGCTCAACCTGTGGTCTGTGTGGTTCCTAACATACCAGTTTAGTGAAGGGGACTCTATACTGCTCTGTGAGTGCTGTCTTTCGGATGAGACGTTAAACCGAGGTCCTGACTCTCTGTGGTCGTTAAAAATCCCAGGATGTCCCCGGCGTCCTGGCCAAATTTGCCCACTGGCCTCTGTCCATCATGCTTTCCTGACCATCCCATATCATAATTGGCTCCATCACTCTGTCTCCTCTCCACCAATCAGCTGCTGTGTGGTGTGCGGTCTGGTGCAATATGGCTGCCGTTGCGTCATCCAGGTGGATGCTGCACACTGGTGGTGGATGAGGAGATTTCCCCCAATGTGTAAATTGTTTTGAGAGTCTAGAAAAGGGCTATATAAATGTAAGGAATTATTATTATTATTATTATTATTATTATTACTTTTCAGCATTCACAATACCATAAATTCAGGCAATATTGACAACAGCTCTGGCAGAAATGCAGATCAAACCAAGACAGAAACTCCAGTATTTTTCGTTTATTAAACAATCTTGAAAAATGTTTCAGGGTTTGCAAAAACATATTAAGCATATCTTTTATTATGTGTATTTTTTTGTATTGTTGTTGTTTATAAATAAGTTTAAAAAAAATAATCAATATATGTATTGTAATATATACACAGAAAATCTGATGGATAAATTGTTGATTCATATTAAAAAATTATATAATATAAAACTCTTTTTTTAGACCAGTATACTTATTTTGCATATCATTGTTATTATTAGTAATACTATAATTACGTCTTAAACTACATTTAATTTGAGGTTTGAATAAAAAAAATATATTGATTCATATAAAAAAAAAAATCAGTTTATTTTTTTTATATTCTCTTGAATGGCTTGGGTTGATAGACGATGCCATCATCCATTGCTGATGGCAATGGACATCACAATGCTGAGCCAGCATCGCAATCCCCTGGCCCGGCCCTGTCGCGGCGGCAACTCGATGAATACACACAAAAAATACACACTAATGTATGTTACACTAATTTTACACTAGTCTTAGTTTTAAAATGACATTTTAGAACGAAAACGATCCACGTCCACACTTGTGTTTCATCTAGCATTTTTGAAAAGCCCTTCTTCCAGACAATACTGCTGAAAATGCTCATCACGTGATCTCACGCACTCTGTCACACAGCAGAGTATGCGCACATCTGAGCTCCAGCAGTCAGTCACAGCATCAGTACACTGCTTCAATCTTTCGCTTTCATGCTTGGTCTTAGAAATTTTAGTGAAATCCTCAGATACTCAGATACCTTTTTTACCAACCAAGTTTGTCGACGCCATTATAACGACACAGATCACTCTGCCTATTCAGTCGCATGCAAAAAGTGATTGACAAGTGGTAATTTGTGTGTAATTTATCTTTATTTATTTATGATTTGGTTATAGGTAAAACAAAGACCATGTGAGTCAGGTAGTTGAAATGATAATTGTTATGAATAAATGAATTATTCATAAATAATTAATTCACTGCCGCCTACGTACGATGCCAAATTGGTCGACATTGCCCACCCTGGTTACAGTTATTACTGAGTTTTACAGTTTTTCATAAAACATGTTTGAAATAAGTGAAATTTATTTATAAACTAATTCCGAGAGGATCACGTGCTTATGATTGCTAGCGGCTGGATCAGCATCATCCAATTCTCAATGCACCAATCAGACAACTCTTAAGCTACTACAAATACCCTGGGTTATGTACCACTGTTATCTTCGTTTTGAAGAATCCCCCCATCCACCCCTACTCCTCCTTCTCCCTACATGGGTGACACGGTGGCCCAGTGCTTAGCACTGTTGCCTTACAGCAAGAATGTCTCTGGTTTTAGGCTTTACCAAACCAGCAGATGCTTCTGTGCGGAGTTTGCATTTCTCCCCGTGCTAACGTGGATATCCACCGGGTTCCCCGATTTCCTCCCACCCAAAAAACATGCAACCTAAGTTAATTGACTAATCCAAATCGGCACTATAGACATGCTCCTAGTAAATAGTTATCTCTCAAGAGCACTGTCTGTTATTAGCTACTACAGTAGGGGAGTTCTCTAGATCTACCTGAGCTCAAACTCCCCTCTCGCCTTGCAACGGGAGGGAGCCCCGGGCTCAAGGATCTTATGAGCTCAGGGCTCTGTCCCGGGGCAGCATGCCAAACAAGCTTATAATTAACCATCAGCAAAGTGTGAACTCTTGAAAAAATATTTAAATTTAAACACAGAAAGTTTGATGGATATCATGGTTATATGATAAAATGGTTATTTGATATAATTTTGATTCATATGAAAATAAAATGTTTTTTTTTATTTTTGAATATTCTCTTATTTTGCATTAGTAAACTTATTTTGCATCATCATCAGTAATATTAAATTTTTCACTACATTTGAACTTGTTCTCCCCGTGTTCGTGGGTTCATGCGGTACAGGTAATTTGGATAAGCTAAATTGTTTGTAGTGTATGTGTGTGAATGAATGTGTATGGATGTTTCCCAGTTTCCAGCTGGAAGGGCATTCGCTGCATAAAACATGTGCTGGATAAGTTGGCGGTTCATTCCACTGTGGCGAACCCTGATTACTAAAGGGACTAAACTAAAAAGAAAATGAATGAATGACTATATTTGAATATTTTTCATAAACAAGTCTTTATATTTCAAAATATTCTGAGGACTAATTTCTAATAAAGATTCCTACAAATTATAATTATAGCACTCATAAGTGTCGCTACTGGAAACACCTTGTGTTTATGTATCACAGAAAAACCATCTGACTAGAGGTGTGAGAGAGTAGGAGGCTTTGTATACTGTGTGTTTAGATCTGTTTGTACATATTAAGTATGTTTGTATTTATGCCTGCAAATGTGTTTTTTCTACTCTCTGACAGCACGATCAATCTCTATCTCACCCATTGAGCTCTTCTCCTCGTGGCCATATTTCAGTATGCGGTGACCTCATAATCGCCCTGGACTATCGGGCTGAAACCCACCGGCTCCTGGTCACCGTGATCATGGCTCAAGGTATCCCAGACAAGGCCCGCAGCGGCATGGACTCCTGGCAGGTGCACGTGGTGCTGTTACCTGGCAAACGGCAGCGGCACAAAACGGCCGTCCAGAAGGGCTCCATGCCAATGTTTGAGGAGACCTTCAGGTTCTCACATCTGGAGCCCGGAGATTTACCTTCATCTGCTCTCCGCTTCCGGCTGTACGCGCTGGGGAAGATGAACAGAGAGAGGATGATGGGAGAGACGCTGTACAGACTGAGCCGACTCAAACACACAGGACGATTCGAGACCACACTGGTGCTGGAGCCACGCAGTAATCTTAAGGTTTGTCTACTTGCTTTAATAGCTTTTTAGAAGGGAGCCCACTGCAAATGATACCAATCCTGTTAACACTTTACTATTAAGTTGTATTACTTAATGCGTTTACTAACATGAACAATACATTTATTGCAGTATTTGTTCGTTAGTTAACGTTAGTAAATGAAAATACAGTTGCTTATTGTTTCCTCACAGTGCGTTAACTAAGCATCAATTTGTATTTGAATAATGCATTAGTAAAGGTTGAACTAGGATTAATTAATGCTGTACAAGTATTGCTCATGTTAGTAAATACATTAACTTACATTAACTAATAAAAATGTATTGGAAAGTGTGCCCCTAATTCGAATACTAATTCAAGTATAATAATAATAATAATAATTCAAGTATCATAATATAAAATCTTTATAGTATATTATAGATACTATAAAATATGTGACCCTGGACCACCAAAACTGTTATATTGCACAGGTATATTTTTGACAATATAGTCAAAAGTAGCATACATTTTATGCCAACAATGAATTAAAATATTATGTAATCTTAATCTTTATATAATTAATATAAAGTTTCCTGAAGACATTTAATACATTTCCTAATGTGTATATATGAAAACTTAATTTTTGTAAGTAATGTGCTAAAAATGTCTAAGAACTTAACTTTAAAGGTAATTTTTGTTAATATTTCGATTTTTTTTTTTGATCCCTCATATTCCAGATTTTTAAATAGTTGTACATATATTGTCCCTTTCCAACAAACCATACGTCAATGGAATTCATATTTATTTTTGATTTTAGCATGTATAAATCTCAATTTCCAAAAAAATGACATTTGTTATATTATTATTAAACATAAATATAACAATTTAACATTTTATTTTTACACCAAACCTTTGAAAAATGCTTTTTCTAATATGCAGGTTATATATTTAGGATTTATTCTGAAATGTTATGATTTGGTAAACATCTTGCATTGTAGTTTCTATGAAGTAAGATATTGAATTAAATATGACATTTTGAAGTATAAAGTGTTAGTGGTATTTTCTTTGATTTAGATTCTTTAAAAAAAAATTAACAAAAGTTGTGGCTGGGATGGTAACTTGGCAATTTTTAAAATGTACAAATACAGCTGAAGTCAGAATTAAAAGCCCTTCTGAATGATTAGCCCCCCTGTGTATTTTCCCCCTAATTTATATTTAATGGAAAAAAAAAATCAGCAGATTTCCAACCATGACAGTTTTAATAACTAAATCCTAATAACTTATTTATTTTTTATCTTTGCCATGATGACAATACATAATACTTTACTAGATTTTTTTAAGGTACTAGTATTCATTTTAAAGTGACATTTAAAGTCTTGGTAACACTCTATTTTGATAGTTCATTTGAGTATTAGTAGGCTGTCTGCTTAATATCAGTTGATACTGCTCTTTCAACAGACATTAAACTGACTATAAGAAACTTTGCAAGTACATGTGAACTTTCACTAACCCCAACCTAACACTCTTCTTATAATCTAATGAGAGTTAGTTGGCATGTAGATGCAATGTAACTTAAATTCAACAAACGGACCACTTTATGCAAGCAATAATTAGGTGATGTGTGTTTCTCTGCAGACAGTAGACGCACAGACCTCTTTGAGCACTCAGACTGACAGTGCTTCCTCCAGTCTGTCTGTGTCTCACGCTGGAAATCCAGAACTGCTGCTGGGTTTATCCTACAACGCCACCACAGGACGACTTTCTGTGGAGATCATTAAAGGCAGCCACTTCCGTAACTTTGCAGTCAACAGACCTCCAGGTAAACCTTGACGTCCCGCTCACATTTACAGGCATCATTAGACCACCAGGAGCGACTCTTCAGCAAATAATCATCTGATATAGATTTTGAGTAAATTTACTACAAATAACTCCCTTCGATACAAAGGAGCCAAGCATTTCAAATGTGTCTTCATCATTACACACCGTGTTCTGGGTCAAATGTCAGGTTGTTCTTTCTTACGGGTATTAATCTTAGTCTGTCAGTCACTTCACTCAATGAAGTTGCAGGGTGAATGGAGTTACGTGGCATTTAATCGATCACTGAGTCTTAAATCTCTTCTCAGTCTATGCGTCACCATTAGAGAAAACCACATAGTATTACAAAATTTATTTTTAAATATATAAATTACATACTTTATTATTATTACTAGGGTTTACAGCAGCCATTACTTTAGTATTCAGATTCAGATTTATTAAAGGTCCTTTGATAAATAGAAAGAAAAAGTACATAATTATTTAAAATTTTAAAAAATATATATATATTTTTACTGTATTGTTTATTTAATTTAATGAATCACTTCTGAAAAAAAATTCTTTTAAAAATAAACAAATTATTCTCTCACTACAAAAACATTGTAATCTATATTCGTTGTGCCTGAAAATTCTCAGGTGTCAAAATTTTACATAGCAGATGTAGAACGACATAATGTTAACAGGAGCACTCTGACCAATAAGATGGCAGCTGCACTCATGTATGACTAAAATAAACACATTTTGGTTCACTTTGAAATCTTGAGTCAAACCAAGAAGCAAATGTAACATTAAAAGAAAGTAAGTTCGTCTTAGAGAAAATCAAATGGCCTGGAAAATCATTGAGTGAGCTTCACACAGGTGAGTGGGCTTGACAAACCACCTGTAGTAGACACTCCTTTTCTCTCCATATGTGCCAAACATCTTCTTTTAAACACTAATATGTCTTGAAAAACATTGTGCAATTCTAAGTGTGCTTCACTCGGGTGAGTGGGGTTGACAAACCACCTGTAGGACACACTTTTTTCCATCTCCATCTGCCTAGACACCTTAAAAAAGGCAAATACTTCTTGGAAAACATTGTGCAATTCTGAGTGTGCTCCACACAGGTGAGTGGGCTTGACAAACCACATGTAGTAGACACTAATTTCCTCTCCATATGCCCCAGACACCTTATAAACACCAACTATTTCTTGAAAAACATTGTGCAATAATGAGTGTGCTCCACACAAGTAAGTGGGCTTGATAAACCACCTGTAGTAGACACTGTTTTCACAATATTTCTGAATAAAATGCCAACTTTACTACATCCAATCAACTTGCAGTAGAAAAAAACAAGCCACGCCCACTGTTGCCTCATTTAATATTCAGCTTCTCTAGGAATTGCATCACAATACGAAAAAAAAGTCACAGCTTCCAGTTCATGCAGACTTTGATATACGCATCTGCTAAATGAATAAATGTAAATGTCTGAAACGCCTTAATTGACCTGACTCTCTCTTTCAGATACATTTGGTAAGCTCACTCTGTTGAACTCAATGGGACAGGAGATTTCCCGCTGTAAGACGTCGATCCGTCGCAGCCAGCCCAATCCTGTCTTCAAGGAGACGTTCGTCTTCCAGGTGGCGCTTTTCCAACTGTCTGACGTCACGTTAATGGTCTCCATTTACAATCGGCGGAACATGAAGCGTAAGGAGATGATAGGCTGGGTGGCTCTGGGCCAGAACAGCAGCGGTGAAGAGGAGCTTCTTCACTGGCAGGACATGAAGGAGAGCGGAAACCAACAGGTCTGCCGCTGGCACACGCTGCTGGATGCTTAGAGAGAAATACAATCACTCTTACCTCACTGCATTCAGCTGGATATTCCTTTGGGAGGGAGAAGACGGCCAAGGCCAAAAATACCCAGATAAACCAGAGTGAGCAAGCAACTTTTTACAGCATCAAACAAAGATAAGGCATGTAATTGTGAAAGCACATACAAACACCCACGTGACACTGTCTGAGAGCACTTAATACAGCCTCTTATCAATGATCTCATATCGTGACATACTCTTTAAAACTTCAGCAGCAGCCAATCAAAATGCATTACTGCTCCAGCCACGGTAATTGTCGCCTAGCGAGTTCATGAATGGAGAAATGTCTTTCTTCAGATGATGTTAAGCCTCAAGTTTTAAGACTCACAGCCACACCAAGGCCATGTTTAGTGGAAAATGTGCTCTTTCTTTCATTCATTCTACTGATGACACGAAAGCTGTTACTTTTTATTACATTTCTATTACATTTTACATCCGAATATGCTGCGATTTGTAGTCAAGGACAGTGTTATAATAGAAGTTAGGTTTGGTATATATCGGTATTAAAAAGGGTGCACAATTGATCACCATTCATATCATATTATTAGACTGTACAAAAAAATTGTCTTCCATGATAGCAAAAAAAAAGATGTTGTGTCTCAGTTGCAAGTTTCAATGACACGATTATTACTTCTCATAATATCAAGCTCACAATTTCCTACACTTTTTTGAAATTTGGGACCTCATGAGTTTATATTTGCAAACATTTAGAAAGGAGAATTATGAGAAATATTCCTTTACAAAAATCAGAATTGTGAGAAATATTCCTCAGAAAAAGTCAGAATTATGAGAAATATTTCTCAGAAAAAGTCGGAATTGTAAGAAATATTCCTCCGAAAAAGTCAGAATTGTGAGAAATATTCCTCAAAAAGTCAGAATTGTAAGAAATATTCCTCAGAAAAAGTCAGAATTGTAAAAAATATTCCTCCGAAAAAGTCAGAATTGTGAGAAATATTTCTCAGAAAAAGTCAGAATTGTAAAAAATATTCCTCCGAAAAAGTCAGAATTGTGAGAAATATTCCTCAAAATGTCAGAATTGTAAGAAATATTCCTCAGAAAAAGTCAGAATTGTGAGAAATATTTCTCAGAAAAAGTCAGAATTGTGACAAATATTTCTCAGAAAAAGTCAGAATTGTAAGAAATATTCCTCCGAAAAAGTCAGAATTGTGAGAAATATTCCTTAAAATGTCAGAATTGTAAGAAATAATCCTCAGAAAAAGTCAGAATTATGAGAAATATTTCTCAGAAAAAGTTGGAATTGTAAGAAATATTCCTCCGAAAAAGTCAGAATTGTGAGAAATATTCCTCAAAATGTCAAAATTGTAAGAAATATTCCTCAGAAAAAGTCAGAATTGTGAGAAATATTCCTCAAAAAGTCAGAATTGTAAAAAATATTCCTCCGAAAAAGTCAGAATTGTGAGAAATATTTCTCAAAAAGTCAGAATTGTAAGAAATATTCCTCAGAAAAAGTCAGAATTGTGAAAAATATTTCTCAGAAAAAGTCAGAATTGTGAAAAATATTTCTCAGAAAAAGTCAGAATTGTAAGAAATATTCCTCCGAAAAAGTCAGAATTGTGAGAAATATTCCTTAAAATGTCAGAATTGTAAGAAATATTCCTCAGAAAAAGTCAGAATTGTGAAAAATATTTCTCAGAAAAAGTCAGAATTGTGAGAAATATTTCTCAGAAAAAGTCAGAAGTGTGAGCTTTTGTGAGCTTTTTTTTTAAATGTAAAAGCGTGTTCGGTCTGATCGGGCCCCTAAGTCATTCACTAGCTGAATCTTCTTTTAATCAGCTTCAGATATCTAAACCATTTGAACCATTTGAACCAATTTGAATGGACTGATCTGGTTCTCAGTTTCACCTGAATCAATATGAGCATCCCAGTTCAGAGGTTGCATCCTTCCTAGGATGTGGAGCCTAAATGGAACATTGTTTAATAGGAACACAGGACTGATATTGTCACCTAGCAACCCAAAACGCAGGACTCAGTTCAAGGCTGCATTTGAAGAAAGCTTCAAATTGGGACGTCTTTTGTCATGTCGCGGTAATACAATCAGCTTTGAAGGATGCGGTCTCTGAATTAGGACACAACCAATGGCTCTATGATCTGAACACATGCCTAAGAGACAACTGAAGATAATCACTGAATGAATTTCGTCTTTTCCCACAAGCTGTTAAATTGCTTTAGATGACTCATACAGTGGTGTAAAAGTCAATTTATGTGGGATTGTGAATCTGTTTTGAAGCTTGAAAACTCCTGTCATTATTCGTTGCAGTTGGGTGGAAAAACCAATCCTACCTAGCAAACGCTGTCTCTTACACAAAGGACAGAAAGTAAAGAGCTGTTCACACCAAGCATGATAACTTAAAATAATAATAGAGTTCTAAAAATTATTATAAATTGGGGTGTGCAACATGATTAAATAGGCAACATGGTGGCTCAGTGGTTAGTCCTGTCACCTCACAGCAAGAAAGTCGCTGGTTCGAGTCCCGGCTTGGCCAGTTGGCATTTCTTTCTGGAGTGTGCATGTTCTCCCCATGTTTGCTTGAGTTTCCTCCAGATGCTCTGGTTTCCCCCACATATCTGCTCTGTAAATCATATGCTGGATATTTTTGGGACTAAGCCAAAGGAAAATGAATGAATGAATGAATGAATGAATGAATGAATGTGAGTGAGTGAGTGAGTGAGTGAGTGAGTGAGTGAGTGAGTGAGTGAGTGAGTGAGTGAGTGAGTGAGTGAGTGTGTGTGTGTACTTCTGCGCATGCGGGTCAGATTAGGACCATGACCTGTTCACACTGCAAATCTGTTATGAGCAGTGTGAACAGCCATGCCAAAAAATCAGATCTGAGAAAAAAAATCAGATTTGAGCACTAAGCCTGGCAGTGTGAACGTAGCCTAATGCCGAGATCAGACTGCATGATTTTCAAAGTACTCAAGTCACAGATGTTTTCACACTGCATGACTATCTGGGCTTGCGTTTCGTCACTGCTTTGTTTACACAGCAAGATGGATTGGCGACAGGGACATTTACATTGCATGACTTTACTATAGGAAGAATCGCCGACAACTTCGTCCAAACTACGTCTCTCAGCCAAAAACAAGTGGTATATCTTTTGTTATTAACTACATAATGAGAAAGAAGCCTTTAATGGGGCAGGACATGTACATGTTTGCTCACCTGGGTTTAAAGGGAATTAGCCATTTCTCCTCAACGTTGATAATAAACTAATTTCTTTCTGTATGAAACGTCAAACAGACACGGTTGCTCCTGAGTCCTGTCAAACCTCCACTAGTTTTTCCTCCATTTCGTGGGTCCAAAATAAACCGAAAATGAGCGCTTTTAACTTCTCCCCCAGCCTCCCGCTGGCCTGCAGCAGGTATACACACACGCACACACAAGTGAAAGCTGCTCTCTCATTGGCTGTTGGCGATGGCTGATGTTATTTTCAGTCAAAACTCAATTCACACGGCATGATTTGAATCGCCGACAGCTCCAGATATTTAACACGCCAAATATCTCACGGGCATCGGCGACTCATCGGCGATTCTCTCAGATCGCGTCTTTGATAGTTCATACTGTGTGATTGTCACTCACGTGCACGAGCAGCGATTTGCCTGTGATTTCAGGCATTTGTCGGCGATTTCTCAAAACCTGTCGCCGAGCCAAAATCGGGGCTAAAATCACGCAGTCTGAACTAGGCATAAGTCTGTTTGTTTGATTACATTACATGAGCTGGATTCACTGGTCAGATGTGCTAGAAAAGTAGCACACTGAGGATATTTGCTGATTATACGGGGTAGTGCTTAAAAAAACTAACTAAATTAACAATTAATGAATCGTAATCTTTCGTATGTGTGGACGCAAATATATTTACTTTACATTTATAGTTTTTAAGCTTGGTGTGATTGGCTCTTTAGTGCATTTTTCAACTAAAAACAGAAACTTTTTGTTAATTTTCCACCGGTGCATTCATGCATACATGTATAACATGTTCAGTCTATTGGCATGCACAAGTATTTGACAACCATTTCAACAATTTTAGGCTACTGGATAGACGTGCACATGCTCGTAATATATTTTTACACATTGACCACCGCGCCAACTACTGGGCCTGGCTTTTGTAATAGTTTTTTTGTGGCTCCGTGTGAATGGAAATAATTTGGACAATGCAAAGGAAATAACTATTTAGTATTTAATACACTGTCGTTGTGTGTAAGCACCTATAGGCATGCATCTTTTTCAGACAATCTTTACACCGTCCATGTGACATTAAAACCCAGACTCTTTTATAATGCATGCCTGTAATGCTTTATGCAGATATAAAGTGCCTGATCGAGTCAAACCTATATGAGATTTTTATTTATAACTAGAAATTAGCATGGAGAATGAAGATTACAGAAGCATGGACATTAATGTTTTAAAAATCAATGCTGCGTTTTGCATGTGTTTTTGAAGAAAAATGCATATATTTTTTATCTGTCATTAAAATATATCCCTAATACACAAACGTCCTCAACAATGTTGTGTTTTATTCATTAGGATTCAGAAATATGAATAGATAAATCTGTTTAGCACTGATTGTGGATCTTGGTGTACTGTAAAATACACAGTGCATCCGGAAAGTAAAGCCCTTTACTTTTTTCACATTTGTTTATGTTACAACCTTATTCCAAAATGGATTGACTTCATTTATTTCCTTTAAATTCTACACGCAATACCCCATAATGACAATAGCCCCTTTCACACAGTGATACTGGTAAATATCTGGAAAATTTCCGGAACGACTTTACCGGTATATTCAAAAAAGCGCTGTTCACACAGGCGAGGACGTTACGGAAATTTTCCGGAAAAGAGCATTCACACATCCATTCCAAAATACCGGTAAATTCTGACATCATTCACCACAAATGAGCTTTAAACGGCTGCGCTTGTATTTGTAAACATTGGACTAAATTACAAACTCTGTGGATGATCAATATTGTGAACAACTTTCGCAGGATCACTTTCGCATGTCAAGATGTTCATAGGCACACGCAAAGCTTGAAGGTAAACAAACAACGGCTTATCATAAGCATCTCATCGATGATTATTTACACAGTTGGCATTAAGAAGAACATATAAATGTAATCTGACTAACTTCTAGCAGCTAAATGTGTCGGGAAACATATTCAAAGGCTTTTATCCTCACAAACCGCGCAGACGTAAATGCGTCTGACTGTTGTGATTGGCTAAAGCAGACGTCTCACGTCAGCACGTTCTAGACGTGTTCCGGCAATTTTCCGGAAAGGTCTGTATGTGTGAAAGGGGCTAATATGAAAAAAAAAGTTTTTTTAAATTGTTGCAAATTTATTAAACATAAAAAAGCTAAAAAATCACATGTTTATAAATATTTACAGCCTTTACCGTGAAGCTCTAAATTGAGCTCAGGTACGTTCTGTTTCCACTGATCATTCTTGAGATGTTTCAGCAGCTTAATTGGAGTTCAGCTGTGGTTAATTCAGCTGATTGGACATGATTTGGAAAGGCATACACCTGTCTATATAAGGTCTCAGGGTTGACAGTGCATGTCAAAGCACAAACTAAGCATGAAGACAAAGGAATTGTCTGTAGACCTCAGAGACAGGATTGTCTAGAGGCACAAGGCTGGGGAAGGTTACAGAAAAATTTCTGCTGTTTTGAAAGTTCCAATGTGCACAGCGGCCTCCATCATCCATAAGTGGAAGATGTTTGGAATCACCAGGATTCTTCCTAGAGCTGGCCAGCCAGCTAAGCTGAGTTGATCGGGGGAGAAGAGCCTTAGTCAGGGAGGTTATCAATAACCCGATGGTCACTCTGTCAGAGCTCCAGCGTTCTTCTGTGGAGACAGGAGAACCTTACAGAAAGACAACCATCTGTGCAGCAATCCACCAATCAGGCCTGTATGGTAGAGTGACCAGGCACCGCTCATCACCAGGCTAATACCATCCATACAGTGAAGCATGGTGGTGGCAGCTTCTTGCTGTGGGGATGTTTTTCACCAAGCTGGAATAGGAAGACTAGTCAGGATAGAAGGAAAGATGAATCCAGCAATGTACAGAGACATCCTGAATGAAAACCTGCTTCAGAATGCTCTTGACCTCAGACTGGGGCGACGGTTCATCTTCCAGCAGGACAATGACCCAATGCACATCGCCAAAATATCAATGGAGTGGCTTCACAACAACTTAATCCTAAATCCTAGACCTAAATCTTATTGAACATCTCTGGAGAGGTGAGGTCTGAAAATTGCTGTACACCCTCGCTTCGCCTTTCAACCTGATAGAGCTTGAGAGGTACTGCAAAGAGGAAAGGCAAAAAAACTCTTTAGATCACAGACAAATGTTTGCCAGAAATGTGTTTTCCCCCTTGGTACACTGTAAAACCTAAAATGTTAAGCTAACTCAAACCATTTCAGGAAACCGATTGCAATAAACCACTGGTTCTCAAAATGTGGTACATGTACCACAAGTGGTACCCAGGCTTACTTCTAGTGGTATGCGGAGGAATCGCTGTATTATTCAAGTAAAAAAATAAAAACACTTTTAACTTTTTGACGCGTACGATAACAACGATGTAATCAGGACATTTATTTTAATAGGCTTAACTTTTTAATTTTATTTTCATTTTTCTAATGTTTGTTATGTATTCTATCATTTGAGGTTATTTTCCTCCCCATATTTGTAACGGTTGTTGGGGAGTATCTCGTATTTTTATATCAATGTTGACAGGTATAGTTTAATCACTTGCTTCTCTGACACACATAGCCTACTCTAACGAGCAGGAAGCAGATCTAATTTTTTATTTAAACATGTAAATCCAAAGATATACAAATAATATCATCTTTATGATATATATATATACATGCAACATATTTCAAAATTTATCAAACAGAATTATATATGAAAATTATGACATATGGTATAACCTATATTTATGAGGTCCAAGAAACATTTGCAGGTTTTGATGAATAGGCTACTTTATAATACTTTACATTTAAGTTAAGCAGTTTTCTTCTAACTTTTTAAGAAGAGTGCCAGTTTTAGTTAACTTTTAAAATCATATTTTATTTTAAACGTTGACGTTTTATTTATCTTTTTTTTTTTTTTACCTGTAAGTGTGTTATTGTTCAAACTATTTATTGTTTAAAGTAGCATTCATTATATCAAAAATTAATCTGCCACGTTTGTGAACTTTGCAGAGCTGTAGCCGCTTAATTAGACCTATTATATATTTCAATACCAGTCATTATGGTGGTCCTTGCAGAGATATTTTTTATTTTATTTTTTCAGAGAACCACTGCAATAAACCATTTAGGTTCAAAAACTAATCCTAATGAGTACTGTGAACGTAATCCATTTGAGTAAATGAAGCAGTTTGAGCTCAGTAAACGCTGAACTTAAACCAACTGAGTACTGTAAAATCCAATAATTTAAGGCAACTCAAACCATTTGAGGAGACCGACTGCTACAAATCATTTAATTAAAAAAACTTATCAGTACTGTGAACTTACTCCATTTAAGTTGAAGTAATGAGGTGTTTATTTACTCATTACCTTCAACGCTGAGTTCAAAACTCTTTTCAAATGAGTAGAATTAACTTTCAGTACATTTTGACTTAACTACACTCATTTCATTTGATAAAGTTGACTGTTGGGTTTTACAGTGCATAAATGAGTGTAAGAATTTCTTGAAGAGATCATTTAACCGTTTAAAAGGCTTTAATTTCTGTTCATAGTACATAATAATCACTATTGTACGCCCGAGAGAAAGCTTGAAGGAGTTTATGAGCCATAAAAGCGTTCAAAAGTCGAGTTGATTATAATCAGATAAGCCGTATGTCAAGAAACAGGCAACAAGAGAGAGGAGGAAACGCAACAGCAGAGGATGCGAGAAGAATGGAGTTAGATGCTGGAGCGTCATCATTGCCTAGTGACTCTCCTAGCAACAGGAAACATCTGTTTCAGCGTCGACCAATCAGAAGCCGGCGCAGTGTGTTATTGCTCTCTGCACAGAAAGAGGATATTTTAAGAGCCGAGAGTGAGCCGAATACTACAGGGATTATATCAAAAGCAAGACTTCGACATCTGGGGGCGACGCGTCAAACTCACGCGGTGCTGAAAGCGGCGGCGTTCGCTACAATATGAGCTGTTTTGAGCCTCTGATCTGATGAACGTGCGTGAGGGGACTGTTAATGTGCCTTTAAAAATACGGTAGGATCCTTTTTACTCTTGTTTATGGTGAGTGTTGAGTAAGAAAACATGGAAGTCTATTTTTAGTGCATGTATTTGTCTGGTGTGGAGCAGTTATAGTACATGCAGGTGTTTAATAGCAGTACACGTCCTAGTTTGGAGCTGTTTTGATTTTTGGAAAATGCGCGTTCTGTGATTCATTCATTAGCGCGTGACAGTTGAGGGGCTGATGACTATACTGCATTATACAAGATAACGCACACGTTACGACTTGTTTTTATTTGATACCCTCTAAAACAACAAAAATACAATTTTATACATATATAAAAAATATTGTATCAAGAAGAAATTAGCTTCCTATACGGATTTAAAATGTATATTTTTTAACATAAAACGTGTCTACATTTCAGTTAGACGAAATAAAATTATTCTAAAATGTAAAAAAAAAAAATAAAGATTTGTGCTAATTATATATTAATATGCATGCTATATTTATAGATGTACAGGCTTAGCATATTAAGTACACCCCTCACAAATCTATCTTTTAAATTCATATTTTAATAGGAAGCTTTACAATATGTTTGTGCATATTAATTAGATTAATCACTACTGAAGCCAAATCTGGAGCTATTCTAAAAAAATAACTTACAATAACAGTCCAAAACCTAGTACATGCAAATTTCTGTTATAGAATAATATTAAATACAACTTAAAAAAAGAGGGAAAATGAAGAGAAGCAAAACAATTGACAGCTTTGTCAATTTGTTTGTTTTTTTTTTTTTGTTTTTTTTTTGCAATGTTTTGGTTGAGTTTAACGTTAATTATGTTATATTAAGTCAATAATAGATATTGATAATTATGTGTAAGTTTTAAGTCAAATTGCCAGTTAATGATTGCCATCATTTACATGCATGTGGGCCATGTTGATATCACATGACCAGTCTGCATCTTGGTAAATCTTATTATTGAACATTTTTGCTAATAAAAAAATATTTAGTTTTTGCATGGTGTGGCATTCGAGTTAGTTTCAAAACATATGCTTTTATGTTGAAATGTTAAAATAAAATACAAATATTGCGTAAATTCTAATAATTCAAAATATGTATATTCATTAAAAAAGTATGGTGAATAAAAAAAAAACAGTCAAATTTATTGGTATAAAGTCTCATTATATCTGTGTTATCAGAATTATAAATGATTTTAAACACAGTTGAAGTCAGAATTATTAGCCCTCCTGTTTATTTTTTCCCAATTTCAGTTTTTTTCATTCAGATTCAGATTTTTTCAACACATTTCTATACATAATAGTTTTAATAACTCATCTCTAATAACTGATTTATTTGATCTTTCCCATGATGACAGTAAATAATATTTTACTAGATATTTTTCAAGACATTTCTCTACAGCTTAAAGTGACATTTAAAGGCTTAACTTAACTAGGGTAATTAGGCAAGTTAGTCTACCGAACAAACCACTGTTATACACTATCGAAAAAATACATAGCTTAAAGGGGCTAATAATTTTGACCTTAAAATGGTTATTAAAAATTTGAAAACTGCTTTTATTCTAGCCAAAATAAAACAAATAAAACTTTCTTCAGAAGAAAAAATATTATCAGACATACTGTGAAAATTTCCTTGCTCTGTTAAGCATCATTTGAGGAATATTTAAGAAAGAAAAATAAATTCAAAGGGGGGGCTAATAATTCTGACTTCGACTGTAGCTGGTATAGAACTTGTTACAACTATTGCACCTAAGATTAGAACAAATAATACACTCGCCGAAATTCAGTATCATAGCTAAAATCGTCGCTGTGTAGCCTATAAAAGAGGCAAATATAAATACCTCACTGGTTTATATTCTTCTCTCTTTCTCTCTCTCTGTCTCAGCCCACACTAATCTCTCCACCCACGGTTATCGCGCGTGGCACGTTTCTTTGAAACTGATAAATGAAGCACAGCTCTGGCGGGCGCTGAATTGCGCAGAGCATCAAGCAACTACAGCACAGCTCTCTGCAGATTTCATTACATTCACTGCTTCTATGAGGCACTGCCCATTTCTGTATGTGAGGGAGGTGTGGTCTGGTGTCACCAGTTTACTAAATTCAAATAAGAAACAGTAGGATGCAGTCAACTGTTCTTTCTCTGACTATAGGAACCATTAGGCGATGTGTGTGAACCAGAGGAAAGAGCCTCAGGTGAATAGAGGATTTGTCAGAGAGGCGTGTGAGCGTGTCTGCTTAAAGCAGTCCTCAGGTAATTAATACACATAAACACACAGACCTTGTTATGTAACACACTGACTGGAGCATAACCTAATCCACTTTACCTGTGACACAGTGTTTGAGGACACACTTACGATTGTAGAATTGATTTTTAAGGTGAATCTTTATCCGCAGCAAGAGATTGACATTCAAAAGAGAGATCTTATAGAATCGCTGTGTCTGTTTGTTTGTTTGTTTGTTCGCAGGGTCTTTCCTCTAAGAGTGCCCTCAACAGTCAACAACGTCGAAAGTCGCCTACTTTAAGCGAAAATATGCGGAAGAGGAGGATGTTCAGGGAAGCCTACATGGATATTTACAAAAAGTGAGTGTTTATCGTTCAGAAATAAAGTGGAGGGAAAATCTGATTGCCAGAAAGTATAATAAATATCAAATTAATATCATAATCAAACTAATGCTCATAGATTTAAGCTACAAAAGAAAATATTGTCACAATTTAAGTCAAAAAAAGCAATGGATAGATACGAATAAATGACAAAATGGCAGAACAAATAGACAGATTTAGATCCTTATAAGTTATATGAGCAACACATAATGTTCTTCTACATCAGGGGTGCCCAAACTCGGTCCTGTAGGGCTGGTGTCCTGTAGATTTTAGCTCCAACTTGCCTCAACACACCTGCACAGGTGTTTCTAGAAAGCCTAATGAGAGCTTGATTAGCTAGCCCAGGTGTGTCTAATTGGGGTTTGAACTAAACTTTGCAGGACACCGGCCCTCCAGGACTGAGTTTGGGCACCCCTGTTCTAGATCATTGCTGCAAAAACCTAATTTTGAAACCTTTATTTTTGTTAGAATGCTACAGAACGATAGACAGACTGATAAATTGTTTAGCATGAACTATACACTGTAAAACAAAAACAGTCAAATTTACGATGACTGCCAGAATTTTACTATCAGAAATACAGTAGAGACCCTAAAAGAAATGTCTCAATTTTACAGTAAACTACCATATTTTAATCATTTGTAGTGTTAAGACACCAATGTTTTGAAGCACTGTCCGTTGTGTGCATTGTACGCAATGCATGTTTGGTATACAGTCAAAACAAAAGCTTGGGAGGATGAAAAAGTCTTATGATGAACTCATCAAAAACTGCTTTTCTACAAGTAGAGAAACATATCAATATATTGACAGTGCTGTGTTATTCACACAGCTACTAAACACTATCAGTCAAAATATTAAACTAACTAAACACTGTCCTAATGCTCCAACTTGCTTCAACACACCTGCAAGGATGTTATTAGTATGACTAGTAAGAATGGATTAACTAGCCCAGGTGTGTCTGATTGGGGTTGGAACTAAACTCTGCAGGACACCGGCCCTCCAGGTCCGAGTCTGGACATGCCTGAACTAAAATAATACAACAAGCATTATTTATCCACATTAATCATAACTCAAATCTCTAATGCACATAACTGATGAGACAAAAGCAAAAAAGATGGGGGTCCGTCTCCCTGTATACCGAAAAAAATTATTTCAGTAAAATTGTTGCAAACAATTTATACGAGTTGAATTTAAACAAACAAAGTAAATTTAGTAATGTTCAACTTAATTTGCTTATTTAAATTCAGCCCAAATAAATAGTCTACAACCACTTTAATAAAACACTTAAAAAAAATTGTAAATCCATGCAATCGTCTTTGAATCATTTGTATGTTTGTCTTTCTGTCCATTTTAAATTTATTCTTAGCATAATATAAAAAGAAATATTAATTAAAGACAAAAATGGTTAAATAGTTCATGTGTATCTCATCATTCAAATATTTCTAAAATAATTTTCAGTGTTGTCATAAATAAATGCACTGTATACATAATTTTCCTGCATATGATTACGAGGCAGCCACCTCCATCAGATTTTGCACCACCTCCACCTTTTGACAAAAATCTGGCTGGTTGACATGGCTACCAACAGACTCCAAGTAATGCTCAAACCCTGGTCATGTATTTAACATTAGCCTTTTAAAATAAGACAATATTTTACTTCATAAGCTTACAAGAATGATGCAAAATGTGTTTGTCTCAAGTAGCTAAATTTCATGATCCAGAAACCACCTAGACCTCATTTTGAGTCATGATTATGGCTGGATTTATGCCAAATTTTTGCCTGAATTATTAGTCCCCTATATATTTTTCCTTCAATTGCTGTTTATTGGAAAGAAGCTTTTTTTCAACACATTTCTAAACATAATAGTTTTAATAACTCATAGGTTAATTAGGTTAACTAAGCAGCTAATTAGGCAAGTTATTGTATAACCATGGTTTGTTCTGTAGACAACCAAGTAAAAATATAGATTAAAGGGGCTAATAATTTTGACCTTAAAATAGTTTTGAAAAATTAAAAGCTGCTTTTATTCTGGCCGAAATAAAACAAAAAAGACTTTCTCCAGAAGAAAAAATATTATAGGAAATCCTGAAAAAATCTTTGCTCTGTTAATCATCATTTGGGAACTAGAAAAGTGAAGTTCATAGACAAACTTTATGGCGGCTTGAGAAATCTCAGTCTGAAAGTGAAGTGGTTTCAAAGTTTAAATAACTGAAGTAGATTTTAAGAAGTTCAAAAAAGTCAGCATAGATAGATAACTACCTATATGTTAGCATGTTTCTTGCATGAATCAGCATGTTTTTGCTAGGCAATTGACAGGGGGTTCTGAGTGGTTGCTAAGGTGTTGCTAAGGGGTTGCTAGGGTGTTCTAAATGGTTGCTAAGGCACTGCTAGGGTGTTCTGAGTGCATGCTAAGGTGTAGCTAGGCAGATGCAAGGGTGGTCTGAGTGGTTGCTTGGGTGTTTTGAGTGGTTACTAAGACATTACCAGGTGGTTTCTAGGGTATCTTAAGTGGTTGCTAGACATTGTTAGGTGGTTGCTAGGATGTTCTGAGTGGTTAATGGGCTGTTGCCAGGGTCCTCTAGGTGGTTGCTAAGGCGTTGCTAGGCAGTTGCTAGGGTGTTCTAGGTGGTTACTAATATATTGCTAGGGGTTTGCTAAGGTGTTGCTAGGTGATTGCTAAGGTGTTCTAGCTTGTTGCCAAGTTGTTGCTAAGTGATTGCTAGTGTGTTCTGAGTGGTTGCTGGGTGGTTGCTTAGGCATTGCTAGATGGTTGCTAAGGCATTGCTTGATGGTTGCTAAAATGTTCTAGGTCATTGCTAAGGCATTGTTATGTGGTTGCTAGGTGGTCGCTAAGGTGTTACTAGGCAGTTCCTAGGTGGTTGCTAAGGCGTTACTAAGGGGTTGCTAAGGTGTTGCTAGGCGGCTTCTAGGGTGTTCTAAGCAGTTGCTAAGGCGTTTTAGGTTGTTGCTAAGGTGTTAGGTGGTTGCTAGGGTGTTCTAGGTCGTTGCTACTGTGTTACAAGGTGTTTGCTTTGGTGCTCTGGGTATTTGCTAGGCAGTTGCTAGCAAAATTAGCATGGCTCCAGTATGAATTAGTATGTTACTAGCATGTTTTAAGTATAAACTAGCATGTTAGCATGAATTTAGTATGAATTAGCATGTTGCTAGTATGTTAGTATGTTGTTAGTATGTTTCTAGTATGGATTAGTACATTGTTAGCATGAATTGGTTTGTTGTTAGTATGTCCAATGTAAAGTCAATGGCAGTTTTTTATACAATGGAAGTCTATGGGGCAGTTGCTAGGGTTTCGTAAGTGGTTGCTAGGGTGTGGCTAATAAGTTGAAAGGTCATCAGTGATTGGCAGATTGGTAGTCTGAGTTAAATGAGCCCAAACTTAAGTCTGTATGACAGTCTTGAGAAAAGTTATGAGGTCACAAAGAAAACAGAAGAAGAAGAAGAAGTTTAAAGTACTTAATAATTAATAATTAGGCCTAATCATTTTTACTGGTTAAATAATAGAAACTTAAAGTTCAGACAGTCGTACGGGTCATGTGAACGACACATTTAACATTCTTCTCACGAGTCCCATCATCACCTCTGTCTCTCCTCCTCAGCACCTGATCCTGCGTGAGGAGCGCAGCTGCATCCTCCGTCTGTCCCTGCAGAAGCTGCGTTTCCTAGACGACCCCGAGGCGTACCTGCGCCGCTCCGTCCTGATCAACAACCTGCTCCGCAAGATCCACCTGGATGAGGCCCAGAGGGAGAAAGACAAACGGGAGGAGGAGGAGATCGAAAGGAGGCGCAAGAGACTCAAGCTGGTGCTCCAGGAGTATAAGCTGCTGCCGTATTCGTCCTCACCAGCCGCATGCATCTGTGGCCTGGGGAGCTGCCACACCCTGCCTCCTGATCATGGAGTGCTACTCTATCATTTGGATGAGAAAGGATAGGACGTCATCAGGAGCATCCAAAGGGGATTTCTAACAGCCCGTGAGGGATTTCCAGGAGCCGTGCGGCAAAAGGAGATCAGTGTTTGTGGAATTGTGCATGGTGAAGTCTGCTGGTGAGCCTGAGCTTTGCGGTTTCTGACAGACAGGTGTTTGTCCATATATCAGGGTGCATTTTTTCCAGCTGGAAAAAAGAGAACGTCGTCTTGTTATCACTGCCTCGCTCTGTTGATCTGAACTTTGACCACAGACGCTTTTGTTTTCATAAATTTTGCTTGAGTAAGCTATTATCTTAAGCACTGTTTTCAGGGATAAAAAAGGCAAATGAAAGCCATGCACTTTGTGGTAGTTATGTTGTAAAAAAAAAAAAAAAGGCGAATTTTAAATCGTCAGTGTCAAAGTCTTGCTAAGGATGGAGTGATTTTCCTGAAGCTTTTGTGCTGTGAAATGGACAACTTTGTGTACGTGGCCATGATTTTGAACAAGATTATGATTTTATTAATATTCTCAATAAATGCATCAATGCTGGTTTTATATCATGTAAATCAACAGAATTAAATGCTGTGTTTCTTTAAGATGCTGTTAAGAAACATTCAACTCAATTTGAAACGTGTAATTCTTAACAAATGAAGCAAAAGCATTACTGCATTTATTATTGAGAACTAAACCCAACAACTAAAGAAAAGAATGAACAAAATACAGCTGGGTTCCCATACATTTAACAACAAAAAAAGAAAAGAAAATAGGAAAAACGCATGTGGTAAAATGATAAATTAAACAAATAATTCTTTAAAGGTATAGTTCTCCCAATAATGTACTTTTCTTTTCATTTACTCACCATCCGGCCCTCTAAAATGCAGTTGAATCTTTTAGAACATTAAAGAAGGTTTTAGCTGAGTCATTAGCCCCTTTCACACATGCAAACCTTTCTGGAAAATTACCGGCAATCTTCCGGAAAGGTTTGTATGTGTGAACAGGCACTTTTTGAAAATACTGGTAAATATGATCGGACAGTTTTCCGGAAAGAGAAGTTGTATCTACCGGTAATTTGCTGGAATGCTGCGCTGTGTGAATTCAGAAGGAAGATTGCCGGAAAGAGCGCGTTCACACTTACAACGCACTGACGTGAGACTTCTACTTTAACCAATCAAAACAGTTAGACGCATTCATATCCGCGCGGTTTATGAAAATAAAAGCCTTTGAATATTTTTCCAGACACATTTACCTGCTACACTGCAAATTTTAGATAGTAGATTTAACTACCTTAGAGTTCAAATTAACACTCCCTCAGAGTTTATATGGGAACCACTATAAAAGTGTTAAAATAACACTTTTGAAAGAGTCAACATTATCAACACCCAGAGAGTGTTAATTAGCAAACCCTTATAGTGTAAAATATTAACACCACAGCGGATCATATGAAGACCACTCAGTGTTATATGTTAACACTCTTAGGTCAAATTTTCAACACCGCACAGAAATAAAAATATATGTTGTTTAATATTGGCAACTCTTATTAACTATCCGCTTGTTAAGTGTGATGTCACGCGAAGCGGCTTCCGGGTCCAATCGCTTTATTCAACAGAATGGGGAGACTCATGAAATGGTAATAATAAACATTTACAAAGCGATTAAATACTTTCGAAAATCACAATCGCAATATATATATATGTCAATGCCTAATATCCGATGGCCAGAAAGTCATTCATTTTTTATAAATTGTTAAATTTTTGGTATTTGTTATGCAGCAAGCCCAGAGATTGTTGTGTACACTATGATTTTATATAAATTTAACTTTAATGTGTGATAGGAATAAAACGTGATCATAAACGAATGATTTCTCCACTCAGATAAATGGCGGCTTGGACCCGGAAACAGTATTAAATACGTCACCACTTAACAAGCGGATTCGGTTAATGTTTAAGCAGAGCAATTTAAAACAGTACCAATCCGTATTTTCTCGTATTTTAACCAAAAGAAGCAGTTTTAAGACAGCTTGATTTTCTTTAGTTTTAATGTAACATAGCTATTACAGAACAAAATAAAGACTTTTAGTGAAATATTTAAAACTAATGTGTATATATAAGGATTTGGATGTCAAATATCTATATGCAAACATTTTAAGTACTTTTACTAACCAGTTGCTTCTTCTCATTCCTCCTCGTGGCAAAAGAAAATGGCGTCTGGAAAAATCCTCCAGGGATATCGCCGCATAAATTTCCGCATGTAGTAGTCAGCAACACTGTATTAGCGTAAGATAAGGTAACTGTATGACAAGGAGGCAAATCAGCTTCTTACACTGAGAGGGTTATTTCACTTTATCTAACTCTAAAATTTCAACACTTTACTCTGAATTACTGCAACATGCTAATTTTAACACTAATGAATTTGCTGTGTAGATGTTAGTCAGATAACATTTCTTTCTTCCTATTTAATGGCAAAAAAAATTATTGATAAAATGCTTGTGATAAACCGCTGTTTGTTTACCTTGGAGCTCTGCTTCAGTTGCTTAACGCATGTGCACGTGAAGGAGCCAGTGAGTGCCAGCACACACACACACACACATTATGAACCATCTCGACATATAAAAGTGCTCCTCCATATGTTTTCATATAAATTCTTCACAATACTTATCAATCCGCATAATTTGTAATGTAGTCAAGTGTGTAAACATTTAGCTGTCTCACAGCTGCATAAATGATAAAGCGCTAAATAAATGTGAAATCACTGGACGTGGAATTGCTTCTACACAAAATGCCGGACCCCTTCTCAGAATTTACCGGTATTTTGGAATGGGTGTGAATGGTCTTTTTCAGAAAAATCCTGGAACGTCCTTTTCTGTGTGAACATCGCTTTTTTTAATTTACCAGTAAAGTCAACCGGAAATGTCCCTAATATTTACCAGTATCACTGTGTGAAATGGGCTAATTGACTACAGGCACTTTTTAAAGTCCAAGTAAAAAAAATAAAAACAGGCAACACTATATGACTCCCTATATAGATCTTATACATCGAATCTTATAAAGTGAAACAAACAGTTTGTGCAATAAAATGTAAATGTTATTTATTAGAACCTTTCATTTAAAAAAAAAAATCCTTAGCAAATGGTCCAGTCAGGTCTGGATAGCATTGCAAAAATATGTTGCAAAACCCACAAGTGAGCTGATACTGTTTAAAACTTTTTTTATACAGTTTTCAATTTCCAGGATAAGCACAAGTACCATTTTGATAAACAATAAGCACAGGTTTTCTCCTCTCCATTGACAACAAACAGCGCCACCTCTTGGTTTGCTTTGTTGTGAACCTGTGCAGGATCATTTGCCAAGGCTGTGCACTAAAGGTAATACACTGTTAAAAAAAAAATCTCGGTAACCTAAATATTTAGGCTGAATCAAATAAACCTTATGTGTTCATTTGACTTATATTATGTTAAACTGACTTAAAACAGTTCGCTTAACTTATGAAATTAGGTTGAAACATGATTAACTTTACAACGACCTAAAAGCATATGTTGTCGGGACTAATTGATCATATTGTTTTTACAATGTACTGATGATTTTCTTGCACATATTAATTGTTTCGCTTCACACGACTTCATGGAAAGTACAGTCTTGGATAGTTCACCTAATAATAAACATTTACACTCTATTTACTCACCCACAAGTGGTTCGAAACTTTTATAGCAGGGGTGCGCAAACTCAGTCCTGGAGGGCCGGTATCCTGCATTTTAGCTCCAATTTCCTTCAACAGACCCGCTTGGAAGTTTCTAGTGTAGCTAGAGAGAGAGCTTGATTAAGTGTTTCAGGCGTATTTACTGTAATTTGGGTTGGAACCAGGGTGCGGATTACATGGGGGTTTGGGGGGATTGACTCCTCTTTTTAATGCTTGATCCTCCCTAAAGGACATCAAAACAAGATGTATGGGGGGGTCTGCCCTTTAATAGTAAGAAATAGCTTTCTCTGATCTCTGATCTATATCTTAAATATTAATAATTAAATTTGTATAATATAAATAAACATTTGACCCCCATAACAATTCATACCATTGCTAGGAAAATATCATTCAACAGTCTGAATCTGGCAGTTCTAGAGCACTGATAGACACCTTAAGTATTCACTAAATATGTTTCTTGTAAAATTGTCAAGGTATAATTCGCACCCTGGTTGGAACTGCAATCTGCAGGACACCGGCCTTTCAGGACTGAGTTTGGGCACCCCTGCTTTATGCTTTATTTAAACCGGTAACCATTGACATCCATTGTAGGAAACCCAAATGGTTGTATGGAAGTCAGTGGCTACCAGATTCTAGCTTTCTTCCAATTGTCTTTTGAGCCCAATAGAATTCAGACGGGACAGAAACTCAAACAGAAAATTTGGAACAAGTGAAGGTAAACAAATTGTTTTGGGTAAACTATCTCTTTAAATTTCATTTACCTTCATGCTTTTTAACGGAGCCAAGTAGCCTTGTGTTTTAAGAATCACTAAGTAGCCTACCACAGTCTCAGCTAGAAATCTTCTTGAAAGTTTTACAGAACAAAAGGCCTGAGGTTGAAAAAAAAAAAATTGTCAAATGTATATTTTGGTGTACTCTCCCTTTAAGGCTTTCTGATTTGTCAGCTTAATCAGGGTCTCTAATGACATGCAGCTCTCATGATCATGAAAAAGCGAGGAAAAAAGGTAAAACGTTTATTCAGAGGTCATTGGAGTTTGGCAGAAACGTCAATGTTAAGGCGACTCTGCCATCTAGTGTTATGGTGATGAATTCTTAGCCATGGTTCATTCGTTTCAATCATTTGTACTAACGGCAGTTTTGAATACCGTTTCACACCTACGTCCTTTGTAACAAAATAAGGAAGTCTGAGCAGTTTTCTTGCTGTGCTTTCTATACACACATGGGTATCTACATCTCTAGAGCTTTAATCTATAACTGCACTGTAAAACCCTAAAAGTTAAGGTAACTCAAGTCATTTGAGGAAACCAATTGCAACAAACCATTTTAAGTTCACAAACTAATCCTAATGAGTACTGCAAACTTAATCCATTTGAGTAAACGAAGCAATTTGAGCACAGTAAACGATGATAAATGAAGAAAACTTAAACCTACTGAGTACTGTAAAACCAAATACGTTAAGGTAACTCAAACTGTTTGAGAAAACCGATTGCTACGCTGTAAAAAGTGATTAGTTACTTAAAACGAGTAAACCAATTGCCTTAAAAGAAACAAGTTGACTTTACAAAAATAGTGCAAGTAAGCCCTTTGTAACTTGGAACTGTTAAGTTGACTTAATTTTTATTATTATGCAAATTGTATTTACTTTAAAAAAAAATAAAAGTAAACTAATCACTTTTTTTCAATACACCTCATATAAAATCCTAAAAAAATCATATTTTTTCAATATAGTACATCATATATATATATATATATATATATATATATATATATATATATATATATATATATATATAATTTTATTTTCAGCTTTTCTGTATCTAGCAAAATTTAGTAACTAAAACCCAGACTCTGGCATGTCTTCTCAATTCAATTTAGGCTGTAATTGTAGATTTTATAGACTTAATGAAGCAGTAAGTATACAATATTGTAATAATTGCAGTAATTATTTGAAACACACATGTGTTAATAGTCTAACACTGTAAAAAAAAGGATTAGTTGGCTTTAAAAAAGTGAGTACAATAAGCATAATTATACAAATTAAGTCAGCTTAACAGTTCCAAGTTACAATAAGATTGCTTTATTTTTGTAGTCAACTTGTTGCTTTTAAGGCAGTTGGTTTACTCACTTTAAGTAATCATTTTTGACAATGTACCTTTAAAAGTGATTACTTGAAACAAGTGAGTAAATCCATTGCCTTAAAAGTGACAAATGGATTTTAATTTTTTAAAACTGAGTAATTCTGTTGCAACTTGGAACTGTTAAGCTGATTTAACTCAATTGCGCACATTTTTCATTTACTTTATAATGTTAAGGCAACGGGTTTACTCACTTTTTAAAAATCAACTAAACGCTTCTTACAGTGTACAAACCATTTGAGCAAAAAAAAAACTAATTTATATGAGTACTGTGAACTTACTCCATTTAAGTTGAAGTAATGAGGTGTTTATTTACTCATTACCTTCAACACTGAGTTCAAAACTCTTCAAATGAGTAGAATTAACTTTCAGTCAGTTTTGTATCAACTACGCTCCTTACATTTGATAAAGTTGACTGTTGGGTTTTACAGTGTGTGGGTGTCCGAATATGTCATAACAAAGGCCTACATTCAGTGCATGTGATTAACAGGGAAAACAAAATATACAAGCTTAATGTAGTGTAAAATCTCCCATTCTTTGTTATGCAGAACCTCAGCCGATACTGTTCTCATCTCATATCGATGTGCATGTCTCTCACATGCTGGTTGGTTACACAAGGTTTTTAACAGGTGAATTAGTGCAAAACTATTTTGGTACAGTACTGGATCTCTTACTATTAATATTTTTGCGTGTTTGTTGATGCACATTTGTATTTGTATTGCGATTTGTTTTTCAGAAATCTGAATGTAATTAATGAAATCTGAATTCAGAGTGCTATCTTTTGGACATTTCAAAGCATAGACATGGATATCCAGTTTATTTTGAAATGGAGCTATTTTTGCTTTCAAAGAGAACATTATTCCTCAGAGAATTTACTGCTATTTTGGCAAAAACAGATTTAAAAGTAGCATACGAGAATTGTCTATTTTCATTGCGATGCAGTCAAAATAAATAAAAGATTGAATGTTTCACTCGGTCGTCTTTTCTTTATTTGTGTAAATAAATAGATCACCATGACAACTGCATATTTGTGCCTGTTCCAAGTTTTTTTTTTTTTTTTTTAAAGGGAGTGGGGGTATTTATTTTGCTTTAAAATGTTCGAAGGTTGAACCAACTTCATTTCCCATAAGTAAACAGGAGAAACGTTGAAACCGAGTGTGTCACATGCATAAATTTTCATTTTTAAATATGTACAAACTTAGTACAAGAGAATACATCTCACAACAATTATTAACAAAATAAAAATAAATAAAATTAAATAAGAGAAATTATCTTGGTTATACAATCAAAGTATAAACATATGCCAGGGGTAAAAAATAAATAAATAAATAAATAGGTAAGATAATAATAATTTAAAAAGTATTTATTTAATCATGAAATTATATATATATATATATATATATATATATATATATATATATATATATATATATATATATATATATATATATATATATATATATATATATATATTTTTTTTTTTTTTTTTTTCTATATTCTTTCTTTTCTGTTTCTAATGTTACATAGTGTAGTGCCATATTGTTTAATCTCCTTTATAAAACGTTCACAATTTGGCTTAGCATTGGCCTGTTTCTTGACATGATTACGGTATTTTTCAAATAATATTATTAGTTGTATTTTTGAATCAGTTCCATCTTGTACTAAAACAAATTTGGCATCATATAATTCAATTTGTATTAGTGTACCAAATGTCCTTGAAATAAAGTTAGAAAAATCAATCCAAAATAATCTTGAGTATATACACATTGAAAAAACAGATGAGTGACACTCTTTAATACCACAAAAACCCATCCACTTCAAACCTGTTCAAAGCATTCTTTTGCAGGAAAAATTCTGTGTAAAATTTTAAAAGATACCTGTCTTACTTTATTACTCATGAAACGTGTATTTGTTAGTAACCATACTTTCTTCCACTCAATGTTTTCAAATTCTGATGACCAGAAGACTGCAGAAGATGGTGTGATACTTTTCTATTGTATCTATCACAACATTTAGCTATCTTTAGCAATGTTAATATCACCAATAAATAAAACATCATCTCTTGTATTTGCTGTTGGTCGAGATAATATACAGAATTACGCAACAGTGATATAACTTTACTTGGTATTGCATCGAAAAAAACTCAGCATAGTCTTTTGATTTTACAAGAATAAATTTTTTTAAGGAATTCCAAAAGCAATATGACAAAAAGCAATCTATGTTCATCAAGTAGTTGACTGACTGTATCCCATTGTCATACCACTGTTCCAACTTTGTGGAGTATGTGCTGCTACCACTCCCGAGTACGCAAGCCAGTTAATGGCGTCGTCGTTACGTTCACGTCTCCGTACCTCCGTACCTTTTGATTTTAAATGAAATGCAGTCCGCCGAAGGAGGGCGCTTCAATGCACGATAAACGTTCACCATGTCTTATTCTACTGACGATGCACATGAAAATCAAAATATAATGTGCGTATTAATCAGCCCTAAGCGAACTTTCTTAAAATATGTCATCATATAACTAACTATAATTAGCCACCCATCCATAGCGTTGTGAAATGTAACATTTACCACATGACAATGCTGCTGTTCCATAATGGTAGCAGAGGTGATTACTTTTATGTAAATTAGGACAGTTATCAAATCTGACAGCAGCTGAAGTAATATAAAATAATAAAGATCTGAATTTATATATATTTTTATTTTACTACACAGCACCTGACCAATCATAGAAAATATCCGGGTTGGTAAGCCCCTCCCATTTTGTTTCCGAAGTCTGATGAATTATTTTCTAAGCACTCGTTGTATTTCTAGTGCCTGCACAGATCTGTCAGTAACCGGATACGGCGTGGGGGTCGGTACAGCCGGACGACCGTAAACATTTGCAAGTTTTGAACTCATTTTTTCTTTATATACCGAGTTATAATTGTATCAGTTGTTATAATTCTGTTAGAGTGGACGTTTGTGTTATTATACCCGCGGTAATGGAGGGAATGTTATAATTGCCCAAAGCACGGTTCACTCTCGGTAGCTCCAGCTTTTTAACGGGTGGGCTCAGCTCGCGCAGTTTTGTCGCTGGACATGGCAGGCGGGATAAAAGCGGGGTTTGTGCGGCTCCTGCACTATTTGCAGGACCCTCAGCACGTCGCGCGCTTTCAACGGCTGTGCGGGGTGCGCGGCTCCGACACGCGTGACAGTGTCCGTAACGGGGTGCAAGGCACTCGCAGCGGGGATGTTCATAACGGAGGCGGGGACGCCACCCGCCGTAGGAAAGCAGGGGCAGAGACCGATACGGAGAAACGCAACAACGGCTTGGCGAACGGGACTGCGGGAGAAAACGTCAACGGTGATAATAACGGGCACGACGCTCTAGGATCCGCGGTGAAGCCTTCGCGCAGAAACTCTCTCACCGGAGACGCCGGCCAGGAGTTCCTCATCGAAAATAAGTTTCTTTTCTACCTGTTCACGCTCGGTACCGAACTCGGGAACGAGCTCTTCTACATCTCGTTTTTCCCGTTCTTCATGTGGAACGTGGACGCGTATGTGAGCCGCCGGCTGGTCGTGGTCTGGGTGTGGGTCATGTATCTCGGCCAGTGCACGAAAGATGTGTTCCGGTGGCCGAGACCTGCCTCGCCCCCGGTGGTCAAGGTGGAGATGTTCTACAACTCGGAGTACAGCATGCCGTCCACTCATGCCATGTCCGGGACAGCCATACCCCTGAGCCTGTTTCTGCTGACCTACGGCCGGTGGGAGGTAAGAACATCACACCATTCAGAGCATGCAGAACTGTTGGACGTGTGAGGTGCCAATCACACAGATTTGTACAGTCTTTCCAAAATTATTTATTCTCTTAAATCACAATTTATGGTTTGGTTGAAGGATATAAAATGTTAAACCAGGAACTATTTATATTGAAGATTAAAAACACAAACACAGATTTCATGCAAGCTAAATACTTGATTGTTGGATATAATTTATTGCAGAGTTCATTCTGAGAAAAAAAACTCTAGCATCATATCTTTGCAGACACCAGAAATCAATCATTATTAAACACCTCATTGGCACTAATACATGTAAACTCCTCATGAAAAAAAAATTGACAGATTAGTATATAGACAGATATGTATTAGGCATAGGCCAGAATAGGATTTTGACGGTATGGTAACATTGGATAAAAAACATCTTGGTTTTACCTTATTGCGATTACTGCTCTAAAGTCCAATAATTTTAAATGTCTGGGTAAAAAAATAACCTTTGAGCACACAAAATATTTTAATTTGAGAAACATTTGCAATATTTTGGAACCGTAAATATGTCATTTTCAAAAACACACAATATTTTACTATTTCAATGGCATCTTTGGATTTCTTTTCTGCTGGAGATACTGCTGTCTAAAATAAAAAAAAATGAATTAATAAATAAATAAATAATTTTACACATACCTTAGGAACAATATAAAAGAAAATGTCGGTGGTTTTAAAACTTCCAAACTGCGGTATACATTGAAAACGGTTACCGTCCCATGCCTAGTATGTATATTTGTGTATGTATGTAATCTTTCCTTCCAGTAACCTGTCACAATTAGCCAACAAGCATGGAATTTATTCCCAGTGGAAACGTTTAAGCCCCATACTACTTTATTCTCTTTTAAGAAGAAATTACACTTGGATGTGTACTGTATGTCACAGTATTAAAGAAAAACCCATTGCAGGGCTTTGTATCTTTAGGCCACTACATGAGGGTTTCGCTTTACAGAACATTTGATACTGCACTGAGCATACACCTCAAGGCATTTTTACATTTGAATCCATGCATCTAAAGAGATTTTACTATATTTGTGAAGATATTTTTTTTTCAGAGGGATTGGTCAACTAGTATGCACAGGTTCTGATATGCCTGTTCGATGGATTTTACAGACCTGGCTCTGTAATCTTTTCATCTGGTTAAATCCTGTGTGGGTGTTAAATCATTTTAAAACAATGGCGTATATTCAGTGCACTTACTGAGTTCGTGAATGAAATTCAAAGCCATCCTGTGCTTAACCTTTCCTAAGGGCACTTGTATTTTTTATTTATTTTTGCACCTCATTTGTAAGCATTACAAAGTAAGTGAAAGATTGCAAAGGCCTACAGTGTACATTTGCATTAAATAACCTGGGGAATGCAAAAAAGAGACTTAACATTCTCTGTTATGCATCAAAGAGAATATGACTTCATGTGCAGCTTATCTGAATCTGATAACACCTAGATTACACAGTGATATAATATAGCCATTTATTCTTCATTCATGTTTACATAATGGTTAAAATGTTTACTTTCACCCTCTCCTGATTTTACAATAAGAGGTCAGTGCCATTTAGGTAATATTGTGATATAACCCACATGCTTCTGTTGTTGGTGCTCCAGCCCTGTATCTCATGAGATTGTTCTTGAGAAATGTCACCAACCAGTATGCAACGACCTTTAGAATACACACACACAGCATTGACTGGTTTGACCCTTGAATGTGCTCACACGTGTGTAACCTTTACGCCTTGATTATGTAACCAACAGCAGACTAAACTTCATGTGATTTGTTTTTTTAATATTAATTTCTGTTTTTATGCATGAATCCCTCTATGTAAATTTGACCTCTAAACTATACTTGGAGCACTTTGAGATGCTACTTTTAAAGGCACTTTATAAAATAAAGTTTATTATTGTATAGCAGACCTTCTTGCATTCTCATAAAATAAACACAAGCTGTATTTGGTACTCGTGTAATGGATCACAAATCTTTTGGTTCGGATCACATAATGGTGTTTTAGTCATGGATTGGAATATTTTTTTGGTCGGCCAAAAAGACAAATGTAATTTGCTTTCCATTTATTAGGTTTTTTTTAATATTTATTTTTTGGGGGGTTTCACCTTTATTCAGTGGTGGAAAGAGTACTAAAAAATCATACTCAAGTAAAAGTACAATTAGTTGCCTAAAAATGTAGTGCAAGTAGAGTAAAGTATCTGTTGTGAATATTACTCAAAGTATGAGTAAAAATTAGACATTTCAAAAGTACTGAAGAGTATTGAGTAGTGAGTATTACACTGTAAAAAGCTGATGTGTGTACATGTAATTTGTGGATGTGTGTAAACGTAACATTCTGTAGTGCATTTAGTTATTGCCCATCAGGCGTACAACATCATAAGACGTTATTTTTAGATAAAATTTAGATTGTAATGTCAAGTGACCACAATTCAATGTCTAGCCAGCATCTAAGGATAACGTTATTTTGATGTCCAATAAAGACGTCAAATGACGTTGATATTTGGTTGATTTTAGGTTGTTAGAAAGTGACCATAATCCAACGTCGAGCCAACATCTTAAACCAATGTCATATTGACGTCAAAAACTGACATTTATTCATCAGGTATGACAACCAAAATCCAACATCTGATAGACCAGTGGTTCTCAAACTGTGGTACGTGTACCACTACTGGTACGCAGGCTTCTTTCTAGTGGTACGCGGAGGAGTGAAATATGTCATGTACATGTTACACACATGTAAAAATGTATCAAAAATGATGTATATAATATGCCATATATGACATATAGCCTATATTTCTGAGGTTATCAGCCACGTTTTTTTTAACTGTGCAGAGGTGTAGCTGTTTTACTGGGCCTACTACGCTATTGTATTTCAATACTGCTTATGTTGGTGGTACTTGGAGAGACAATTTTTTTCTGAGGTGGTACTTGATGAAAAAGGTTTGAGAACCACTGTGATAGACGACATAGTGGCAATGTCCACATAACGTCAAGCTGTAACATCATTAGACGTTGATATTTGGTTGGTTTTCGATTGGACATTGACGTTGACCTGACGTTGGGTTCTGACCTTGGCCTGACGTTGGGTTCTGACCTTGGCCTGACGTTGGGTTCTGACGTCAACCAGATTTTCATTTCCAAACAAAATGCAACGTCTATGACGTTAGGGTACAACGTCAATCTGACGGCATGTTGACGTCTTGTGCCTGCTGGGTGTTTAAGGCCATTTCTATCGTCATACAGTAAATATCTGTCATCTTCTCATCAGGGACATGCATCTAAACATTCTAAACAGTGTCTGGATCATCGTGTGTGAAGATTTTGGACATCTTCTTTTCTTCAACATTTTTAATGCTTCCAAAATGTCTGCTGCAATTATAAAGCACATGTCTTGAGGTAGTTCATTATGATGCGATTTTCCTTCTATGTGCGATTTGATTGGACAGGAATCACAGGACTGATTTTTCTAATCAACAAAGACAAGAAAAAATAAAATAGTGACTGCAGGTTGAAGGAAAGTAGTGGAGTAAAAGTACAAATACAGCACTAAAAATATACTCAAGTAAAAGTACACATTTTTAAAACTAATAAGTAAATTATAATTCCTGAGAAAAACTACTTAATTGCAGTCATTTGAGTATTTGTAATTAGTTACTTTACACCACTGCCTTTATTGGATAGGAAAGTAGAGAGTATTGACAAGAAAGCGTGGGGAGCAGAGAGAGGGGAAGGATCAGCATAGGACCGCGAGGTGGGAATCAAACTCGGGTCGCCGTGAGCATGAAGTGCGTGTTTCGACGCACTAACCACTACACCACTGGCGCGCACTGCTTTTTGTTTATCACAAAAACAGCACTGCAAGACACTTGGTTTTAACAAACATAACTTAGAACCTGTTATTTTATTAAAAATAAAATTAAGAAATAATCAGCTAAATAAAAATAAACTAAAATATTCAGTACTGTGAAAAATTCCCTGTTACTACTACAGTTGCTGATAACGCTAAATGAATAAATGCAACATTATAATTTACAACCCATATGTATTTTTAGTCTTGTTTTCAATAAATGATTGAGTTATTCACTCAGAAAGCTTCATGTTTCAATGCTAGATTTGTCAGTTTTAAAGAATTATTCTTTGATAGTTGGTTGTCGCCACCTAATAACTTTCATTTCTGAGCATCGTACTGAGCCCTGTCCACCAGCCACTTCTGGTTGTTAAGACGGCCCTTCTATTATTTGTCAGTCACTGAAATAGCCTCCCTTGAATTTGAGTTTGAGACCCCTGGTTAAATGCATAAGACAGTGATTTTATCTTTACCTAAATCTCAGTGGTTCCATCTAAACTACAAACTGTTATCCCAGTACTTTTGTGTTATTTGACGGTTTGTACCTGTCAAATAAATAAATCTCATTCTTGAAGGGTCAATAAACATATGCAAATCACCATCATTTATAATTTGTTGCGTGGGTGCACAGAAACGCCTTTAATGAAACCCACCACATTTTGAATAACCTACCACAACTTCTCTGTCATCATTAAATTTTACAGAAAAGCTTAAATGCTCTCATACATGTAATTTGAATGACGTGAAAGGTGATCTCTCTGTGAGTGTTACAAATTTAGGATTTATTTACCAATAAAAAATGCAGTAATTCCCGGGTCACGTGTGTTCTGAACCATGGGTTAAGATCCGACAATGATCTGTTACACCCCTAATATATATATAAATATATATATATATATATTTTATTACACTTTGAGATGCTACTTTTAAAGGCACCTTGTAAAATAAACTTTATTACTATTATATAGCAGACAGAACATGTTTGTATTCTCATAAAATAAACACAAACTGTATTTGGGAGGATTGCATTGGATTGTACGCAGGAGGTTGATTTGGGAATGTTTGGGAGTTGTAATAAAATAAACTACTACATCATGGTGTTTAC